GGATTCCTGAAACACACAGCAGACAGAGCGAGCTTCTTAAAACCCAAAGCAGTGGCCTCCCTTTGCACTTGGAAGAAAATCCAAACTTTTGTCTCTGACCCACAGGGGCCCACAGGACCTGGCCACCACCTGTCTCTCTGACCTCGTCTTACACCTCACCTGCCCTCATTTCGCACATCCCACCTCAGGGCCTTTGCCCCTGCTGTGCGGTTGCCCCAGAATGCTGTTCTGCCAGATTTTTGCATGACTGGCTGTCATTATTCAGACCTACATTAAAACATCAGCTCTCTAAGAGGCCACCCACTGAAAATAGGTCCCTCCCCATTCCATTCTACCTCATTACTTTGTAATATTTTAAAAATATATTTGTATTGATTTCAGAGAGGAAGGGAGAGGGAGAGAGAGAGGTAGAAACATCAATGATGAGAGAGAACCATTCATCAGCTGCCTCCTGCACAGTCCCTGACCCGGAATCGAACCATGACCTCCTGGTTCATAGATAATCAACCACTGAGCCACACCCACTGGGCTCTTAGTTATACTTTATTAGTAGTAGATATCACTGTCTAAAATGATCTTAAACATGTATTTACTTGCTTAATATGTTTCCCCACCCCTGGCCCTCTAACCAACAGGAATATGAGCTCCTTAAGCAGAAATCCCTTGTTAATCTCACTCATGGCTGTATCCCCAGCACCTGGAAGGGTGCTAGAACATATTAGGTGCTTAAGAAATACTTGCTAAATTAAGGAATGTGTGAAAGAACGATCTCACTCTGGTTTATCAAATATAATTTTAGATGGAGTGCGCTCAGAGTAGAACAAAATTCTTTCATTTCCAGCCTCTCCTAAGGCAATACGTGACCCTAACATTCCATAGTTTGTGGGGGCCCGGGGGTCCCTGTAACATTCTTTCAGAGATGGAGAATATTAAACTCAGTCTCTCATCTAGCCAACATCTACTGATCCCATGCTACGTGCAAGTTCAAGTCTAGATTCTGCCACTACAGCAATGAATAAGTGGACAGAAACTTCTCCCAGGTGGAGCTGCCAGTACTGACAGGGGCAACATGGTGGGTTTATGAAAAGAACACAGGGGTTGGAGTCAGAAAGACCCCGATTTTAATTCCTGCCCCATCATATACTAAACATCTGTCTAAGCCAGCTGCTTGACCTCCATGCATCTCACTTTCCTCTATAAAATGGGCACACAGCTGACCTCCTGAGGTTGTTGAGATAATTCAGTAAGGCGATGAATGAATGGAATTTGCCCGCCTGCTACTTCCCCTTGGGATGAAGGGTCTCACTGTATTCCTTGGAAGATTTGAAGTCACCCCACACAGAGCCATGTGCATGGGCTCCAACCAGGATCCAAAGGGGTTAGTTTCAACGGATGAATGTGTGACCAATTCAGGCCCCTCTTCCGGCCTTGATTCAGAGCAGCCTTGGAACCCTGCCCCTCCTGCTCCTTCTCAGCAAGGGCAGTTCTCTGAGAAGACACCAAGCCTGCAGTTCTAGCTCCAGCTGGACAGCTGGCCCATCATCAATGCCCACAGTGCTGGGCGGGGTTGCACACAACTCACCCTCTGAGCTGCCATGAAGTACACAGGAGTGTGTCAGGGCACATCCAGAATACAAGGCAATCATGTGGCACCTTTCTGTTTTCCTGAGATGCTGGGCCTTTGACATGGAGCAGGTCTCAGAGAGCTCTGGATCTGTCCCATCAGAAGCTGCCCCTGAAGGACGGTGACTTGGTTAATGCTATCACAGAGCAGGGCCCCTGGTCACCAAAGGATGTCACTGCGCCCGCACAGAGACAGGCACCCATAAGGCAAACAGCTGGGGGACTACGTTTTCGGTATTTCATGCTTTTGGACACTGTTGTCACCCTTCCTACCTGCCAGCAGCTATCCCCAAATAAAGGAAACCTCCCAGCATGCTCTGTTCCGAGAGGCACACACTCGATTTACTAAACATCTGGACGTTGGGCATGTTAACCAACATCAGAGTCAAAGGGAGCTTAGGTGTTGGTCCCCCGCTGTGATGGGGAGCACCGGGTGTGCCCGCAGACGGTCACCGGTAGGGGGAGGCATCACTTCCTCTGCCCAGGTCAGGACTGCAGTTAGCTGATCTGCACAGTTTCTCTGGACCAGAGCCATCAGCAATGACAATAGTAGTCATCGTTGATAATGATTGAGGGCTTTCTCTGTCCCCAGTGCTTTACACAAATTGATTTAATTCTCATTAGAGCTGTATGACCCAGGGACTATTTCTACCCCCTTTTATAGACGAGGACACTGAGGCACAAGACCCTACCCAAGGTCACACAACTAGTAAGGGGTAGAGCTGAGATTTGAACTCAGGCTGCCCCACTCCTAGACCCCCACTCTGAAGCTCTCCATCCTGGCAGAACCGGATGTAAGCTCCTCAGAGCTCTTGAAAACACAGCCTTATCTGTCCTGCCCACTGCTGCACCCCAGCACCTAGCGCAGTGCCCAGAACTTGATGGTCGCTCAGACGGAACGGCACACTCTAGTCTCCGCAAATCTCACCACAAGCTCCCACTCTGAGCTGCCCGATGGAGGAAGGGGTGGTAGACGCCCTGTTTTTCCTGACACCACAGCCTCCCACCTTCGGTCCTGGATCCGCCACACAACCAGCACCAATTCCATCCAAGAATAAAATCCGTTATATAACCACATGGCAGTCGCAGGGGTAAATGGAGAAGCAACCTCAAAGTGTCACTCGGCCACTTTTAGTCTCCGATGGAAATCGATGGTCCAGTAGCTAGAACGTCTCCTCTCCCTGCGAGCCTCCCTGGGCGTGCAAACTTTCCTTCGTCTCCTTTCCTGGGTGCTCTCTCTATTTGATTTTATTTTATTTTGGTCGTGCACATTATTTGAAGTTACTATAGCAACGTGTCACCAGCTGGTATCGCATAGTAATGTTGGCATTTTAGGTAGCAAGCTCCCGAAGTTGGCTGTTTTCCTCCCTCTGCGATCTCATCACTCCCCCTGATCTCAGGTGAGTGGGGGACACATTGGCAGCAGCCATGCCCCTCCCCCTGTTCTGTTTGTGTTTCAAGGCCAGGAGAACCTTTAGCCTCTTCCTGGTTCCCCTGGCGCTGCAGGGGTCCTGGCTGGTGTGTAGGTGTGTTTGCATCAGAGCTGGTTCAATAGGTATGTTAGGTTGAGTGTTGTGCACCGAAGCTATCAATGTGGTGGTGATGGTGATGGTGATGATGATGATTTTTTTATGCAAAGGAGTAGGATGATTTGGGGAGGGCTGCTCTCCTGATCACAATCACCTAGTAGCCCAGCTAATTAATATTAATCACACAATCCTGGGTTTTTCTTTTTCCCTCTCACCTGGGCACAGTGAAGGGACCCCGACTGTTTGCCTTTGGAGCTTCGGCCCTCTCCCAGGTGTGCGAGACCTCCCACACACCGCTGGGCTGAATTAATGAAGAGGGCTGATTGTCTGGGTGGCTGGAGAGGCTTAGCAGCCCCTCATCAGCCGAGTGCCTGGATGATTGCACTTATTTTTACACGTTTGACCTAGTTTCACACCGTGTCTCCTCATGCTGTGATTCATTAGCTACGTTTTAAACCGCCCTGAGAGAAGCCGGGGTGACTCTGCCCGGCTTGTGCCAGCGTCTCGGATACAATTTCTCTCCGGAATTTGATATGCAGGTCCCCCTGGTATTCCGTTTTGGGAAGCAATTTCCCATCCGGGCGCCTGGCATGCTGCTTGGGTATGGATGAGTGGCTGCCTTATGCCTTGGTAGTAAATCTATGTCCACTATAGCAACTCGGCCGGGGCTGGGAAGAGGCGGTCCTCACCAGCCTGGACTGCAGGGGACCCCTCCACCCCCCTGCTCTCCATGCAGCCCTCAAAGGCTGCTGGCAGGGCTGGGGGTGTGGGCTGCTACACTGTAAAGTTTGAGCTGTGCCAATGGCAGGAGTATCTGAGTTGCTGAGGCAGATGCAGTCTGACCATCACCCCCACCCCCAATTCCCCTCGCTCTTTCTAAACATTTAAAACATGGTGGATGCAGGGGATCTCAAACTTGTAAGAAGGGAAGGGGGCAGGAAGCGAAAAGGTGGATTTCCATGCCGAGGACACTGCTGATCTGGGGGACGCGGCAGAGAAGCCTAGTGCGAAACCATTATTCTGTCTGCGCGACAGAGGTTTTCTGTTTTTGATTTTTTTTTTTTTTAATTTAAATGACTGGAGGAGCCCTTTCAAAATATGAACCTGCGGCTGGCGTCTCCAGCCATTTCACGGATCAGTCAGTCACCCCGGTGGGATGTCTGACAGGTGTGGCTCTAAGGTGGGCTGGACACCGTGGTAGAAACAGGGGCGCTCCCCGTCGGAAGTGAAATGCTGTCATTTCTCACTAACAGCCAAATGCAGGTAACTTGTCCAAACTTCAGTCTCCCGCACTACCAAGAGGCACTCAGCCGGCATTTCTCCGTGGCCGTTACAACGAAGGAAGGGGCACGCTGGCAAAAGTAATGCTGACGGGTGAGCGAGCTGGAACACCCCGAGCCGGTCCTTACACAAAGATAATGGTTTCTTTCATGAACCAGCCACTCTCTCTCGGTGGGGACCCGTCCCCCTCCCCCTCTCGATGTTTTTCTAAAAGGAAGCATGGAAGTTTCTCTAAACAAGGCTTCAGACAATGCAGCCCTTTCAAGGTAATGCCAGTGAACTTGAGCGCGGAGGTTTGTTTTTCGCCTTTTTTGCCCCCTTCACATTCAAATCAAGCCTTTGGGAATGACAAGCATTCCCGTGCCTGTGCATTCGGGGCAGCCTGCGGCTCTCACAATGGTGGATTTCCCAACACACACACACTCACACACACACACACACACACAGCGCCCAACCCCAAGGCTCCTTTACGCCAAAGCTTTAAAAGTAAACTATTGTCCAAGAGACATTGCATTTTCTCTCATGGGATCATCCATCACAGAAGAGAAAGCCTGGCCAGCCTCTTACCTTGAAGCAGTGGTTACCTGCAGGGGAGGTCCTCCCGCGCCTTGCACAGCGAGCCAGGCTCTGGCCAGCAGCGGACTTACTCCACGAGAAGGAATAATAAGTCCTTCATGTTGTAATTTCCACTGTTTAGATGCAAGAAGTGTAGTGGGTCTGCTCACGTAGGAATAAATAAAAAGCCGAACAAACTGCTGGGCTGCTACCATGTGAAAGAAAAGACCTCTAGTGGCCACAGGCTGAATTCTTTGAGGAAGGGAGACAGGAGATTGGAGGGAGTAGGAAATAGTGTGTGTGCTCTCTCCCTCCCCCCCCCCCCCCCCCCACACACACACACACACACACACACACTCCACCTCCCAAACTCTAAGATTCCTCCTTTCCTGCGTGCAGCCTGTCCAGAGAGATGCACAGTAATAAAGCCCGCGTCCTGGTTTAAGTGGGACCTGGTTAAGTTAGCAGTGATGGTGCTCTGTCTGGTTTGAAAGGGACTGACAATGGCACAAACTCACCCCATCCCTGGGGGCCTGAGCTGGAGAGAGGCTCACCAAGGCGGCCTGGATGGCCAAGGCGGTCGCCCGGTGCAGAGGCTGGGGTCCCCATCACCAGACACAGCGTCCACGCTGCTGCCCCTGAGAGTCCAGCCTTGCACTGTCTGCAGCTTGCATGCTTTCTGAGCATCCGTGTGTGTGTGTGTGTGTGTGTGTGTGTGGTCACTAGTGGTTGTCTTGAAATTCTGAATAATTTTTAACAAGGACTCTGCATTTTCATATCCTCTGAGCCCCACTAATTGCATAGCTGGCCTTGCTGATAGGGAAAGCAACGCCCCCACCCCCCGCCGCCCCCACCAACATCCTAGTTGGAAAGAACCTGAAAGCAAATGAGAGTCCCCATCTTTGGGAGCTACTTTGGGGAATGTGAACTTGAGGGACATTCGATTCCCAAAAGACTTCCTGTGGAGGGACATGGAAGGCGCTTCCTGGGACGTCGGGGCTATTCTTCTACCACAAACTACACTGCACATCGGTCATCTGGGAGGACATTTTTACTTCATATTTTTTATATATTTTCAACAAAGGAAGAAGTTGGGGGTCTTTTTGTTTGGGGGTGTGTTTGTGTGGTTTTTTGTTTTTGTTTTATTTTTTTAAATATATTTTATTGATTTTGTACAGAGAGGAAGGGAGGGAG